TGTATTGCTATCAGATATTTGTGGCCGACAGCTGAGTGCACAGACAAATAATATCCCAAACCAAAGACTAGGAGGGCTCCCTGATATGTGTCCTGCCTGAATGACTGGGGCACAGTCTAATATTCCATGAAGTAGAAAGCTTTGGACTTGCATATGCAGCAGGTGATATTGGATGCACAGCGCGGAGTTGAACTTGAAAAAAAATAGGCCTTTTTAAAGTATCTGTGTTCATGGAACCTGCATGGGGAGGGAAGTAAACACAGAGCCATTTGGTAGTGGTGGTAGTTTTTGAGTCAGGTGGAAACCACTGAGAAAAGAAGTTACTTGGGCAGTAGGTGTATCATGCCATATTGAAGTCTCAGCCCAATGAAGTGAGAAACTTGGTAGAATTCTTTTTTGTGTTGCTGTTTATAGCAGAGTCATTTGTTACTATGGTAGCAAGCAATAAATAATGATATAAGGGGATTAAAATGAGTCCTGGCATTGCTGGCATGTGGTTGGAGGGTTCTATTTGTGGTCTGAGTGTCATGTGTGCAAAATATTGTGGTGCATTAAATTGAAAAATAAATATATTTCTTTTAAGTTGCCCATTAGTGCTTTATGGCAATGATTTCCTGAATGAGGCTGACCCTGCAGGGCTTGTGTCACATAGACTAGTCTCCAAATCCTATTTGGAGAGACTGTCTCTGGCTACTCCACTCTGATGCAACAGTGTCTACAAAGGCACTTCTCACAAGACTGAGCAGTGGGCCTAGAAAGAGATTTCACAGATAAATAACAATTAGTTCTGACTATTTTTCAGCTAGTGTGTTTGTGAATGGAGTGGAACCTGGCAGGAGAGAGGAGGAAGATATCAAATATATCCCAGGAGCATTTAGAAAGTTGCTTTTTCTAAATTAGTTTACAAATGAAAATAAACTTTACACAGTGTCTGAAATAAAAGTAATTTTTCTTTTGAATAACAGCCTAAGACTTCTCTTTCTTTTGCCTTCGGGAAAAAGAGAGATTTATTTTAAATTTGTAGCAGAAGGTAACAGTAAGCAGGACCAGCAAGCTGCATGTCTTTTGCACATATGTGTACTGAGTTGAGGAGGAAGAATATATGTTTCCTCCAAATCCTGGGGCTGGACACAACATCTGTATGCTGCTATCCAGGGAGAAAGCTGTGATGACCCTTTCAGATTACTACTTCCTTTTATTCAGTGGGGCATAGTAATAAAATAATGCCTCAGCAGTTCTTGTCCGAGCGCCTCCTACGCTGAGGTCTCCTGAAGCCACAACTCATCTGAATTCCTTCTTAGTCCCAGCATGGCCTTCCAGCTATAGGCAAGAATTGGTGCATCTTTCCTTTTAAGAAAGAAATAACAACAAAAAAAAAAACAAACCACCACCAAAACAAAACAAAACAAAAAAAAAAAAAGGGAATCACTTCTTTCTACCATTATGCAACATTAATTCTTTTAGTAAAGTGTTGGAAATCAACACATAAATTAAACGGTGCAATCCATGATCCCTTGGGAATGCTGTGCGGACTGGCAGGGAGGTAGTATGGTATTATATATGCCTTTGTTTGTTTCTTTTATGTGTATTAGATTTAATGATTGTCATTATTACTCCACATAAGTTCTTGTTCTCCTTATCATAGGGACACATGGCTGGGGGATTATATATCATCATTGTTACTGTTATGTTTGCATGTAAGACTTTCAGTGTTAGAAGACATCCCAAACAGAACAACAGTAATATCAAAAAATGACCAACAAAAAATGAAATTACAAGGATATTGCTGAACAATGTGACTGCTTTTAAGTATTTGTGAACAAATATTAGATCTAGGTTTGGACCACTGTACTAATCTTTCATGTTTCGTTACCTCAGTTAAAGTGAGGCTAAATTGTTGCTTTTCAGATGGACTTGTATTTTACTTACGTTTTCTACTGATGCCAGTGCCTGCTGCTTTATGATACAAGTGTGCATAAAATGGAGAGTCTTGTTGGCCACCAAGTCATGGGACTGCTGTTGCTTAGAATAGTATAAAAGCTTCTTTATGTCCATGGTGCATTTGGCTTCACAGAGAAGAGAGAAGAGAATCTGAGGATCTCAAATTCCTCAGGATCCTGCTTTTCAGTGGAATCTGGTGTTCATAATTAAGGGAATTAGTAGCTGTCTGTCTTAGATAATATTCCAACACATTGCAAGGCTTAGAAAATGTAAGGGTTTGCAGAATAAGAGCATATTACTTCAACATGATTTTGGTGTATTTTATTGGTTAAAAATATATGCTACTATTTAAGATAGCCATGGAAAGCCAGTCTTTGTGAGGATTGATAGATAAGTTTAAGATACACTAATTGGCAGTGTGTAACCTGGATATTATATTCTGCTAGCCTGGAAAAAGACATCACCTGGATCCTGTCTACAAGTGTCTGCAATTGCAGGAGAGTCCAGTTAGAAGATCAGTGGTCAGTGGATCTTTAGATTTATAATTTTCCCTTTGAGCTGACGCAGTCTGAACATTTAAATCTCACTTCTGTGAGATCTAGTAGGGAAAAATCTTGTCAGCAGGCTGATAAATGCTAGTCTTTTTGTCTGGTTGCTTGATTTTTTTAGAAAGATCTGAAGCTTTGTTACCCGGTGCTCTGTTAGGGGACAGTTTCTACACCTTGGATAGAGGAAAGGGACATTGTATGTAGTATCGCATGTGAAGAAACTTCACTTAACTCCTTGCTTAACCCAGGACAACGTCAGAAATGAAACGCAGTGGATTCTATGCCTACCTGCAAAATGCACACTAGTGAAATAGCACTTCATGAAATATCAAGTGGGGTACATGGTTGTCTGAAAAATTTTGACTTTTAATATTTCACACATGGATATTTTTCTGTGAGTGTATTCCTTTCTTTCCACAAACAAGTGACCAAAGTCTGGAGTGCTGGCAGCAAGAAGATTTTAGATTTCGTGAAGATTTATCACATTCTTGCGGGCACAGGACAGTTTGAATGTGGGGAATTCACAGGCACATTATACTATATTGGATTTCCTGCTTTACTCCTTCCAGCAGTTTACAATTTCTGCTCAAGCAGAGCCAGCTGTGCTCCACAGAGATTTGTTCCAGGGGAGCTCAGGTGGCATTCTTCTTACTGCAGTCTCCTTAGGATTTCCCCAGAGATCTGAATTTTTGTTTGTGCTCAGAAAATTCCTGTGCATCCCTTAGCCAGATCTGCCATCCCCAGTCCCTGCTGAAACTGCACACTCTTGTGAATGCACTGGCTGTTGGCAGATTTCAAGGGGCAGGGAATTTGCCACATCTTTTCCCTGCAGATATGCTGTTCTCCAGAGATGTCTCCTGAACCTCTACAGGCTTGAACTTCAGACCTTTTTGATAGATTAAAACTCATTCTGTTTTCAGTGAAAGCTGTCATAAAATTAAATTTCTCTGCTACAGGGGCTGAGGGACTTCCCCAGGCGGATTTGATAATTCTTACTAGTAAGACCTAGAAATACCTCCCCTTGTCTTTTTTTTTCTTAATAGGAATGCTAGTATTTTTGCCCATGTGTGTTTTAGATATACCATCTATAGAGAGAAGCAATGTGTTTATCATCAACAGTGAAAATACTGACCTGGAAAGGACTTTTTTTTTAAAAAAAACATATGCATTGATGTGGATATAAGGAAAACAAAAACCCCACAGCTGCTCCGCCTGCAGGGCTTCTTTGAATAGCAGAATGGATCTAAGGATGTTTTTATTTCCTTGTGAAGAGGAAAAATTCATCACTTTATTCATCACAGCAAAAACAAATCAAATCAATACCAGGAGCTTTTTAATAATAATGCATTTCTTTTGGCTATCGTCAGTGTAGGTCTCAGCAGTGGGTGCCGCACATAGCTAAAAAGAGTGAACTAAAACCTGTCTCTGATACTGGTTTTCATTTAGTGTTAAGGAATTAACTGCAGTACCAGACTGTAACATCCCAAACACTGATGTGTTTAGAATCTGAGAGCTAAATCTGTATTTTATAGCTTGAGTTCCTCTGAACTGTGAAGTGGTGTTATAGAATAAATTCTTCCTTTCTTCAGAATTCAAGAACATGTTGGGTAGCTTTGCTTTTTTCATCTGTTGCATGCTTTGGCCGGGTCATTAATGCACTTTATCCAGTTGTTAGCAATGCATCCTGAATGCCTTCTGTAGACCATTGTGATTTGAACACCTTTTTTGGTTGGTGAGTAAAGGAGAAGCTCTCTCTCACCTTCTGTGGAATGTGTTGGCTTCTGTCCTCATGAATGTTACTGTAGGATGCAGTCATTTATTTTAACTGTGTTGAGAGACTTTCAAAGCCATTAGATGATCTTGCTACAAGCCAGCAAATTCATACTGTATATCAAGGGATGAGAGTTAGTGCTGAGATCACTAAATAACACTTCCAATAGAGCTTTAAAAAATTCTGGCCCATGAATTTTGTGATTAGAACTAGATCATCTATTAACGAGTCAGTGCATGGCTAGGGAATAGATCCAAGTGCTTCCTAAATTGGAGAAGTGTTGTCTGGGTACAAGTGAGCAGTAAACAGGGTATTAAAAGCTATGAGTGGTAGAGAAAAGGATAAAGAAAAGAGAAGGTTTTGTATTATCTCAGAAATAACTGACTCGTGCAGCTGCTTGGTGTAGCCATGAACCTATTAGCAAGGGAAAAAACACATCACAATACTTTATTGTCCCTTCTTTAGGTGTTAGGCCTCCAAGACCAAAACCAAGTGTATGTGTATATGAGTATTTCTTTGTTTTCAGTTTTCCTTACTAACATGAATGTCTAGGCAAAGTGCAACATAGAAAGTTATTTCTTAATTATTTAGTAGTAATTAAAAATGTGAATTAATGTTGTGCTGCTGCTAAATTGACCCTTTCTTATACACAAATTGAGTTGTTCAGATATCTAAGGATACTACCGCAGTGTTTTTGATTAAAGTGTTACATTTCCTTTTCTTTACTTTTTTTTTTTCAGGTTGACTTTGAACAACTCCAGGAAAACTTGTGTCAGATGGAAAGGCGATGCAAAGCATCATGGGATCACCTCAAGGCTATAGCAAAGCATGAAATGAAGCCAACTCTAAAGCAAAAAATGTCTGAGTTCCTTAAAGACTGTGCAGAAAGAATCATAATCCTGAAGATTGTTCATAGAAGAATAATTAACAGGTACAGAATTAGATTTTTGACAGGAGTGTCTTGATAACAAATTGCTTGCTAAGATTATAAATTATGACATCATAAATGTGTTTTTTATAAGTGTTTAATCCCCATTCCAGCAAGTAATGTTACCAGGATGTATATGGTGCATGCTTTGTTATAGATGCCATTTGAGAAAGATCCCCACTCCAGAAAGTTTCTTTATTTCTCAGGAAAAGAAGCAATGATCCAGGCAATCATTTATTCCCAAGGTGCAGTATTGGGTCTTTTAACTCCTAGGCCCCCAAACTTTATGATTAAGTTATTATATTTTCTGTCCTTCCCTGAATACTTGGCGGGGGGGGGGCAGTTTACTGGCTGATAAACAGGAACAGGCTGTAGCAAAAAAATGAAGTTCTACTGACAAATTTGTCATATGAAGAAATTGAAACAAGTCTTGTACACGGAGTTCTTCTATAGGCAGCAGCCACTCCTTTTTGAAAGATCTGTGACTGTGTGCTTTATGCCTACACAGCAGAAGACAAATTAAGATTCCTCTACTTAGGACTTGCAGTTGGATTTAGTTTCATCCAATGGAGTTAACATTAACTGCAGTGCTCTAAAATGTAATAATTCTGCATTATGCCTGAGCTTTTGTTTTTCAGATTCACAAATGTATCTGTAGAAGTCATCTGAGTAATTAATCTGTGTTCCTGCTTATTAATGAAATTATAAGAGATTTTCCACCTTCTGAATATTTTCCAAATGCTGTGGTCAAAATTAGGACCTGAATTCCAAATGATACTAAATTTGTGGATATACAATTGAGAAGTTAATTCAGCTCTTCTTTCTTTTTTTTTTCCATAATGACTTCTTTTTCATGTCATAAGTAAGCAGAAATCCCAGTTGCAGTAGAAGGGAAGTGAATTCACCATTTTCCTGTTGTGTTTACTATATGCATTGGACAAATAAGAAAAATATTAACTTTTTCCTATTATGTGCTACAACTACTATGATAGGCTTCTCCAAAATTGTATCCCTGTAATTGCATCTTTCTAGGATTTTTATCACCATGGATGTGGATGCAGTTAAAAGGAACTCACATACATTTTTAAATGTTCAGTGTGCTATTGTAAATCATGAAATACAGAAGCAATAGTAAAAGTTTCAAATAGTGCAAAAGCTCTGAATGCCACAGAAGCAGTAAAACTGTGAATTGAGAGTATCCCAAACTAAAGTACTTGGTAGATAATATAATTTTATGGTCAGTTTTGTGAACCAGAAATTCTTTCCTTCATGTGTTTGCTAGCCTGTAAATCTGCATTCTTCTTGTCTAGACTTTTTCCAACATCCTAACAGCCTCTTTGAAGTTGCTTAATGCAAATAAATAGAATTGAAACTTAATATTTTTTTTTTCTATAACTGAAATGAAATTGGTCATTCACATGCCAAATTAGTCATATAAAGTAGATGGAGTTCCATAAACATCTTATCTCCTGCATCAGCCTGGGAAAGTGGACTGGGATGAAGTTATCATAGACTAGGCTTTCATGGTTTTAATTATAAAACATTCCAGTGTTATGCAAAGCATCTATGAAAATTCTGTAGCACAAAATAAATGGTGAGAGCTAATAAAGTAATAAATGGATTCACTGAAATGTGGGGTTATTTTTCCTAGAAACCATCAATAAAGACTTTTTCCCTTTGCATTTGTGAACTCATTGTTTTCCAGGTTTCACTCCTTTTTGTTATTTATGGGCCATCCTCCTTATGCAATACGTGAAGTCAACATCAATAAGTTCTGCAAAATTATTAGTGAATTTGCTCTGGAATACCGCACCACCAGGGAACGAGTTTTGCAGCAAAAACTGAAACGAGCTAACCACAGGGAAAGAAACAAGACCAGAGGGAAAATGATAACAGATGTAAGTGGCAAAATGTGTCTCCCACAGCATGGATTTTTAAAACTTACTTTCACTGAATGTCGTATATGAAGTGGTTTTACTCTATACTTTTACTCTTAAGAGGTTCTTCTATTGTAAGTAGTGAAGTTGGTTCTCTTAGAAGACAAAACTTGCAAGTCCTTGATTGTGTGTAATTTTTGCTTTATACCAGTTTATAGAAGGAGAACAAACGAAATTAAGCATCCAAAAAGATCATCTCCTTATGTCACACAGATAGTACCCAAAATATCTAGAAGACACCAGCAGCTGTGTGTACCTGATCAGACAAGAATATAAAAAGGAAAAAAGCCTAGAAATTAAACTCTTAATTGAGCCTAATGATTTAAATGATGAACCACTGTAGCTATTTAAGTGGTTACAAACAAATTTAAATGGATTTTTTCCTCCATCTTTGAATATTCTAATCTAGTCTTTAATCTTAGTATTTTATCTATTTTTATGTATATAAGTATATATATGAATGCACACACGTAGCAATTTTCTTCTTACTTTAAAGCACAGAACAGGCAGTTTTATGGGAACAGACTTCTTTGAGGCTCTGAAAGAACGGAGAAATTTATGTTCACAGTAGATGTTACCCTGCAAAATCTTTGACTCTGTGATTGCATACTGATAGAATATGTTAAAATAAGATTAGTTTTCTCAGCATAGTAAGCTTTAAAATCCCCTTGATTTTTTTATCTTTTTTCTTTTTTAGTTAATCTACTTTGATTCAATCCAAATAAAGTTTTAAGAAGTGCCAGTACTTAATAAAAGTTTCCAGCTGTCTCAAAATCCAAATCTGGAGTCTCGATTAGATTCGAGTGGTTCATTGCATATGAAGATACCCCTGCCTTTGGCATGAAAAGCCCTAAGCTGATTACAGTTTTATGGCTCAGGCAACATGAATCAAAATATATATGTGTATTGAGACTGACATAAATTGAGATTGTATATAAGTCATTGTCTCACGATCATTTGTAGATCTTTCCTGGCAATATCGTCTGTAAATTTGGAAATTTGCCCCATCTAGAGAAAATGTTAAACCTGTATTATTATCTCAAAGGTTTTCCTTTTGGTCTAGCCTCGGGTTAAGGAAGAGTCTCTGATTTTATGTGAAAGGTATAATACAGTCATACGGATTTTCAAAACTACCACTGGGGAACTGAGATCAATTTCTTTAATTGCTTCTCAATTTTCCTGACGTATTCTAGGGGAGCTAAAAGATAACATTAAACAAAGAGATTGGTAAATTAAAATGTTCATTTTCTCAGGTAGCTTCAATACTTTTTTACTTGTTTAAGCAATACTAAGATGTGAAGGAGTTCCTATTTTCCTAGTGTATGACGTAGTGCTTTTGTACTATCTGTCCAGAAGAAATGGCTGTGGCAGGACAGAAAGCTTCTCTGTGTCCTGTACCTGCAGGAAATGTGAGGGGAAAGGGAAATTTGATCACTGGCCCCTGGGTTCAGGAAGTGGAGAGAAGGGACCCATTCAAACCAGAGAAAGGCTCAGGGTTGACAGCTCATCAGTGACGAGCAGAGCCAGAGACGATGGCTGTTTTCTGAAAATGTAAGAAAGGAGGCAGCTAGGCCTTTCCCAGAAAAATGTATTATTGGAAGAAGAGGTCTTGTTCAGTTGAAGATAGTGGTGAGATTTGACAAGAATTAAATGCCATCTGACAGATGGTGTTCCACCTAAAAATGTCTTTCAGGTCCCCAGAAAGGAAGAAATTTTTGCCTATCACTAATTTACAATTATATTATGGTCTTATTAACTAAAAAAAAAAAAAGCCTGCTTGGGTAAAAAACCGCATTCTTTAAAATTCTCCTTATAGAGATGTTATTTAAGGGAGTTATTCACATGGCCATATGGTTGTTTTGGGACTTATTAAATCTCTTTAACTGTAGCCCACTAATATGGCCTCATTTACCGTTCACTTGATTGCAGTATGGGGTAAAACATAATGTAAGTTGCTTTAGACTATTTGTCACAGCTTCTTTTGACAACTTCAAAGTCTGATTTACCTCAGAACAAGTTTCCAAGTCGGCAGGATGGAAGATATTTATGTGTGAAGAATGATGAAAAAGAGGAGTTTTATTGTAGTCTTATGTTGGCTGTGGTTTATGTCTGGTCTTGATTTTCTTAGTGTTTTATACTTGAAGGCATTAGAAAGGGAAGATATATCACTAATGCATTGACAGTATTCTCAACGAGTTGAAAAACACTGATAGAAGAAAGTTTAGGTCTTGCCATTGGAAAGAAAATTTGTAGAAAGTAATTCTAATAAGAAGTAGTGATTTGGAATTTTAATTACTGCTTTTGGTGACCTGGAAGGATTGTGGAGTTATTTCATACTTACATCCCTGTCCTTTTGAAAGTTTCCTCAGAATCTCATTTTTCTCACCTTATGGTACATTGCTCTTAGGCAGAAGAAGAGGGATTTTAGCAAAAATGGGAAAGGAATAAGTTAGAACCATCCCAGTTCTTAACGAGAAGGCACATATCTCTTAAACCTTGGTCCCCCCTGCAGACTTGGAAGGCAGAGGGGTGCTGGCTCTTTGCATGGAGAGAGTCTGCTGGCTCTTTGCATGGAGAACTTGCATCAGCTTCAACAACTGCTCACATGGAGTAGGGCTGAGCAGCACAATGGGGAATATTTCCAGTATTTCTTTCATCCTTTTACCACAGACATCTTTATGTTTATACGTTCCTTAATAGCTGAAGTGGACTGGGCACTGTCAAATTAAATCTTGGTGAATGTTATCTGCAAGGAGGGCAGGGGAGGGGGAGACAGCTAAGGAAAAAAAGAGGGAGAACAGTGAGTTGCCACAGTTTCACAAGGAAAATTGCCTAGTCTCTGTAACTTCATATCTGGCTTTAGCCAATGATAGCAGTCACTCATTTCAACCACAGTAAAAATAACAAGCAAGCAGAATATGGAATACATGCAATTATAGATACAAGTCAGAGCTTTTTAATGATTTTTAATAATAGTAGGTAATATAAGCATCTGTCTCCCAGATTTATGAAGCTCTGCTTTTTATGATACTTAAGAGTTTCAATTCCAAAAATGCTATGCAATAGAAATAATATTTTGAAACAGCAAACCCACCACATGGAAATGCTAGCCTAAAGGAAAAATGAGAGGGAAGGAGGGAGACCTCAGATTGTCCTGCAACATCCAATATTTGATGATAGAAGAATCGAGCAGCCTTTTTTTCTTACAATTAACATCTTGTTAGGGGGTATTCAGTATGGCAATATTCTTCCAGTACTTTTTGGTAATATTACATTATAAAAGTTTCCCTAATTTATTAACATTTCTCATCGTACGTATAACGATGAAAAGAAGAAGGAAAGAAAAGGGAGAATGCACACATGTGGGTGAGAGCATATTCCCTTCCCGAAACAAAAGTTTGATTTATTTCCTTTGCTACACTGACTCTTTTTGTCAGTATTTGCTGGGAGGCAAATGGCTCTCCAGACATGGAAACACGAAGGGGACGATGAACTGCTTCCTTCTGTGCACTGGTGTAGCTTTGGATGTAGCAAGGACAGTGGTTCTAGGTGTGAGCCCCCTCCACCCACAACAGGAGGAAGGGAAATGGTAATGCCTCAGGTACTGGAGATGAGCAAAATCAAACAGAGTACGTTGTCCTTAAAGTAAGTCCGTAGCAAATCACCTTTAGCTAGATTAAATGGGCAGGAAGGCCAGCAGCTGGGACCTTCCCTGTAAAAATCTGGTTGGATGTAAAGTAACAATACAGTACACTTTTGTTTGGAGCACACTCTTTGTGATGTATACTCTGCTCTTTCACCTTTCTCTGAGTGCCTTTTGCATAGTTTAGCTTAATTTGCTCTCCTCCTGCCTTTTATTTGTTAGCTAGATGTACATATGGATTAGAAGTATGTCCTTGCTTCCTCTTCTTCTTCTTTCTGTTTCTTATTCGTGACAAAAAAAGTCAACAGTGGCCTTCAGAAGAACTGGTTTACAGTGTGACTCCCAGCCCCCAGGAGGATGGAAAAAAGCAAATGGATCTTTTCATAATGTAAAGGGAACATACCTGCCAAGGTCCCTCTGCAAAACATCTGCCTGTGTTGCTGTCAGTGCCACTGTGTCCAAAGAAAAATAAGCATCTCACTCTTTGAATAAAACATACCCTTAAAAAGTAATGTTAGTGTGCTGTTCAGCACTCTCACAGCTAATCTTCTTACTGAGATTGTGCTGAAACTAAGCTGAGGGCCAAAGTAAATCAGGCTTTCATTTTTAATGATGAATGTTTCTGGAACAGAATGTATCAATCCCAGACAGAAATCATAGCTGAGATGGAGATAAGGTCAAAAATATGTATTTGTAACACGAGGGAGGGGAATAGAATTGGTGGTATGCTTCTAAAAAACAAAACAAAACTCACAAATAAAAAAGCTGCAGTGGATTCCTAGGCTATGTTTATACTTTATAAGCAATCAAACTGAAAATTAAGGAAACAAAGAGCCCAGATATTTGAGAAACTGTGTTTTACTTTGGGAACCTTCCATGTAGGGCATCTCTACAACCCAATGAAGAATTCCCCAGGCATTTGGGAACACAATTCAACAAATATTCTGCTAATTCCCTGTAAATCCACAAATTTAAGAACACTTCGTACACCATAATATTTTTGATACACCAATTGCATTTAATGTAGTGTGACTGTCAAGATAGTTTTACATGCCTGCTGTCACAAAGGGTGAAAGCCCTGAATCACAAAGGATAATTGCATCTCTCCAATTTCCAGGATCTGATTATCGGGCAGCTACTGAAGAACTTAAAGCATTTATTCAAAGGCTACTTAGCATTTGATTTTAGTGCTTAGTTAAATTGGAAGTTAAATTGGAACTTGAAGTTGAAAAGTCCCAGCACTTATGTGTCAAGGAAAGGAATTGCCAAGAAGATGACCTCTGCACTGAGAGTCCCGAGTGCAGCCAGGACCTCCCTGTGCTGGACATAGCTGGGAAAAAGAGAGGGAGTCCTTCCTAGTGCTCTGTTTCCACAGGGCAAAAAGTGGGCAAGCAACCACAAACTCAAGGGAGAGAGATATGAAGGGGTTGAGGGTAGTTTCAGTTCATAATTTCTCTAAGAAAAACCAGCAAATTGTGATATGCCTTACTGACAGTGACAGTCTGTTCTGTGTACAATTAACTAAAAAAAAAAAGCCAATTGATTATCTAAGGAATTAATTCCTTATACGCTTTGTATTTTTATGTCCTCCTATAATTGCATAAACAGTGCCATGGTTACCTCTTACTCTGTTGTGGTTTGACCGTACTGTCCTTCCTAAATCTTGCTGTTTGTCCTTCTCCACCCTGTCCTTTGTGTCCAGTGGCAGACTGATGAAGAAGAGGATGCTGAGGTATGATTCTCTGAAAGAGCATGTCATTCCCATGTTCCCTGTGTGCTGTGACATCTAATTTCCAACTCAGTGTGGACTGCTCAACTCCATCTGCTGAACTAGAACTATGAACCATGACATTTTTCTCATAGCTTTTTGGCACAATCATAAGGATGCATTTTTACAGTCAGCTTTAACCATATGCATACCTGCTCTCTCGAATAAGGATATCCTCATCTGAGGCCTTAATAATTTAAAGTTTCCTCATTTATTTTCCATAATGTCGGTTTACTAAACTGCAAAGTATCCCCACTACCCAAAACATCAGGGATCTTAATGTTGTGAAGATCATCAGTTACCTTGGGCTATGGATTACCATGATAATTTCATAGTCATTATTAGGCTGTGTAAGTCTAAATGGTATTATTTTATAAAGTGTTCAGAAGCATCAAGGCATAGGGATGCAAAGCAAATTGTAATGGTTCTCCTTGCTGTATGAATTGTGAATAAGATAGTTCAGTCACTGCAGAGATGAGCCATGGAGCAGTTCATGTATTTCCTGAAGGTGATGTTGAAAAAAATAAAGGAGTGAATAAATAATTTAAGAACTATACTGCACTAGCTATATTCATAATAAAACAATTTATTGGTTTGAGGAGCATCTATTGTGCAATGCATTTTTTGTTCAGCATTAGTGCTTGTTTCAATTTGCTGAATATAAACAATGTGGCTTAGTGCTCATTGTTTCATAATGGCAGTCATTTGCTCAAGAGGCTGGGGTTTGGCCATTAATCTATGGCAATGTCTGAAAATTAAGGAAGTGAAATAAAACTTCTGGCTATAAGAGCTTCTCCCCCAGCGATGATTTGTGATGTATAGCTTGGGGCACAGAAAGAAAATTACATTAGCCTGTTTATGCTAACATTTAACTAACCTGTGTGAATAGTAACAGTTATGTGAAGACTTTGGTTTTTTTCTGAGATGGCATTGATTAGCTTTACAGCCCACTGTATATAAGAGAATATTCTTAATGCAAAAATGGCATGCACTTTCATAGAAGTTCATTCTAATGTTTTTCTGTCTTTTAATTTCACATGTGAAACTCTAGCATGTGCACACTTGCCACATCAAAATGTTGCTATCTCATATTTTATCAAGAAAAAGTTCTCGGTATCAAAAATAAATATCACACTGGTATATTTAGCTCAGTGCCTTGTAGGGATTATTCTTTTGCTACTTAGTTAACTTGCTGTCCTACCCCAAAAAGTCGTTAATGTTAAAACAGAATCATCCTGTCATTGATTTACAGATTAAATATTTTCGGTTTGCAGCCCCAGAGACTTCATCAAAGGTCTGAAAGTAGGGCCCAGTCTTTTCTTCTAATTTACCCTTCTTTGACAGAAAGGCTCTGTAGGTTTGCTTCCTGTTAACTGACTGGCTCAGTACTATGGAGTGAATAATTAATGTTGTTTATTATGCAAAGGAAGAAGAGAACACAGCATGCCTTCCTTCATTCATGCTGAATCAGTAGGAGTAAGAAAGATTAAAAGAAAAAGAAAATGTATTTCGGTTTCCGATGCTATACTGATATTACTGAAAATACCTAGAGGCATTATCATCTGTTGAAGCCTGTTTGCTCTTCGCTCCTTAGGCAGTATCTGTTTCTGCTGTTTTTAATCTGTTTCTAGATGGCTGTTTGCAGTACCCAGTGGAGCTGCTGCATCCATGTGCTGTGCATGCCCAGCTAATGCAGCCACTGTTGTTAATGTAGTCGTGGTGACAGGACACGGGGGGGGGTGTGCGAGGAAGCAGAGGGCAGATTCCTAAATCTCATGTAAGGTTTTGTTTGTTCTTCTAACTGCTGACTGCAATTTTTGTGTTTTGGCCATGAAATATTTTGGCTGGGTGTTTTGGAACCAGGGATTTTTTCAACATTACTGGTAATGTATTTTAAGGTTACTTGCAGGTATTTGTGTTTTAGACTAGTTTGAGACTTTTCTGTGCAGCACTGCAGAGAGGCAAGAGGGAAAGGTCTCTCTTCCTAGACTGCTCTTCCAGTTTTGCCTTGTTACTGAAAAGTGATGGTACTGGAAAAGCAATTTCTTATTTGTATTGAGTCTCATACTGACTCTCTCAGTGTCATACCAGACCCCAGATCAGGGCCAAACTGGGTTGAAGGTTTCCAAGCAAGTCTTTGCTTTGTACCTCATACTGTCAGACAGGTCAAAATTACAAAGTTGAGCTAATGCATCTGTTTTTCTTCTGATTTTGTCTGCTTCTCCCTGCTGTCACCCTTTTGCTAGTTTACTTCTGCTCAGGGTGCATGCTCTGGGTGAGGAGTGACAGTTGCCTGGCTCTCTTGGGAATATCTGTACTCCAGACCACGCCAGAAGGACACTTTTCTCCTTGCAATTCCCAGTCTAGACGCTGGCCTATTCTCCATGCTGTTTGCTATTGAAACAACATACCTGTTTTCCTCCCACAGTCCGGCAAGTTCTCCAGCAGCTCGCCTCCCTGCCAGAGCCAGCCCCAGGGGCTGGAGTACGCCGAGGACGCTGCAGAGCATGAGAACATGAAGGCTGTGCTGAAGACCTCCTCCATCAGCAGAGAAAGCACCACGGCGCTCGGGGTCCGCACTCGAAGCCGGGTCAGCCGAGGTGAGTGCCAGCGTTTTCCTTTTGGCCACATTTCTCATGGCACGGTAGCCACACAGTGGCCCGAAGGCGGGTCATGGCCCCCTCGAATAGCACTCACAGCACAAATGATCGAACAGGAAGGAGAAGACCCCAGTGGTGTTTCCATGCTGGAGGTGGTGGTTTAGGGCATAGGCATGTAGGGAATTTGCCTGAAATTTTAACATGTGGATCACAGCCAAAGTAGTGCCTGGGAGCATTTAGAGTACAAGCCTGCAGAAATTCACAGCTCTTTCCCCACCCTGGTGAACATGGCTGCCCAGTAACACCCCAATCTTTATTCCTGTTCTCATTATGAAGGCAAAATGGGGGATCCATGGTGTGGTTTTCTTTTTATTTTCAGGAGAAGCATGTAGAAAGTAGCAATTCAAATTGAAGTGAAAGGGCCTTGCAGCATTTTAGGAATGACTGGGGAGAGGAAGAAAGGTAGGGAAAAGATGATGAAACTTTTAACCACCTCTCTGCTTAACTGCAAAGGCAGTGGATTAAGCAGAGCTTAGGATCATAAAGAGCTCTGAACAGCCCCACATCTCCTTGCTGTCCTGACAGATACCTCTTTCTCTGAGGTTCACAATGTTCTGTGCTGCTGTTTCTGAGTGTCAGCACAGGTGATTTCTGAAAACTGACAGGGAGGAAATGAAAACCTGGCCCAACTCACCGATTCCAACACCTGATACTCTGAGAGAAGAGCTCACTGGTACAACCATTCTTGGCAGTGAGATAGCCTTGTTTTTTGTCCAAGACATGATTCACTGGTACATGTCTTAATTTAAGCAGCCACTAAACCACTTCCTTTATGCTAAATCATTTTACAGACACTGGGTTCACCAGTTTACTTTCGTCCTCCCCTCACCCCCTCCCATACATGTGATACCTGGAAGATGGTTTTGGAGTAAAGGTGATGCACCAAAATTCAAGTCCTCAGTTTTCTGTTCTGGTATTTCTTCTCCCTCACATCTGGATATCTTACACTTTCTTGGTTCTTTTTTGATACCACTGGTAGCAAATCCAGAGCATCCACCACTGTGTGTGTGTAGTTCATTAAGGATTGAAACCATGATCCTATCTAATTTAGAGGTTTCACAGCCCCGATTTAAGAAGCAAGTCAACTAGCTAAAGTACAAAGATGAAATAATTCAGGCTGTACTGCAACAAGCTGAATAGCTGAAGTAATCCATTGAAGGCTAACAAGCAGCGTGTCCTGATAATGGAAGTCAGCTTGTGTTCCCCTGAAGAACAGCAGAGGCAGAGGACGAGTGAGTCAGACAGAAGGTTGTCAGGAGCACTATCATGATACCACTGCTCTTGACAAGAGCCAGGAGAGAAGCAGCAGAGCAAAGTGCAAATCAAAGGTGTTGTTTATTCATATGGGGGACATGGTATGGAGAGGCCTCAACAGTGAATTTTTATCTGCTTGCAGTTCCACCACACCCACTCTTTTGCAAAGTTTGTTGTCAGTGTTCGCACTACATGATAGCCTTCAAATTATTTAAAAACAAAAAGCACACAGAACAGTAGTCTTCAGTGGAGGAACCCAAAGATGTGTCTGACACAGCTCTGTGGAGTAAGGAGTGCCAGAGACTTGGGTTCAGAGACATGGCTCACTTGTTTGTTTGTGGTTTTAACCAAAAATTGCTTATTTAACTTTTCAGCTTGTCAGTGACTCTTGCTTTTCTGCTCATAACACAACACACACAGCTGTGCCAGGACGCATACAGCTTTGTGATGAGAAGGTGAATTCTTCATTGTGAAAGGGACAGTTAGACATGCTGAACCACATTTTTTGCCCTTTTCTTGTCTTCTTTGCACTAGGCTCTCATACAGATGCTTAGAAATAGATTGTTTCCCTCTTTTGGTATAAAGGACCTGTCTTGCTGATTTGTGCCAGTTTCTAACATGTGCCATGACTTCTAATCTCTACGTAATAGGAGTAGAGGAAAACATGGTCATACAACACTCCGGCAATCCTTGGCTTATAGACAGTCTCTATCAGACATTTGCCAGTTGTATGGTCAAGGATAAGACTCTGAGGCTGAAGGGAATAGAAAGTTATAGTTGCATTTGAACTCTCGGGTCTCTGATGATACAGTAGAGAGAGTAGAGTATTATTTAGAAATATTCTCCATTAGACAGACTTCTACTTTGGCCAATTTGAAGACTGAGCTGCCTGCTGTAATTCCCAAAAAAACTCAACTGCAAAATCAAAGTGACCCAAGAGACTTCTGTCTTCTTTTCCCTCAATTAATTTGCTGGACTTTTCCAGGCCGTATTGGTTCGTGGAATGCTGGCAATGACGATTCCCCTAATGCAACAGATGATGCAGCAGATGAGATCATGGATCGCATTGTAAAGTCCGCCACCCAAGTGCCAAGCCAGCGAGCGGTGCCTAGAGAGAGGAAGCGGTCACGAGCAAATAGGAAGTCATGTGAGTATATGGCTATTAAATTTCTGAAAATAAGTAAATGTACAAATACTTATGGATATCAGTGTAGGAACCAGACCTTTAGTATGCAGACATGCTTTGGTAGTTCATAGTAGCTTGAGTATATGCTTATGATAGGTGTATGTTCCTCTGACTATTGTTTAAACAATGCATGCAGTGGATGACTCTGTCCTCTACAGAAGTTGAAATGGCCTTAGCAGAAAGAGAAGAGGAATGTTTTATGGTGCTCTAGAGCTTCTCTGATGACTGTACTTATTCATAACTAGAGAAGTCAGATCAAGACCTCAAACGGAGATTGTGAAGGTACTGTGGACTGGCATGAAGATTAGTAGTTGTATCTGTAGCTGAATTTATTCATAAAGCAAAAAGTAGTTTGAGAGATTTCACTTCATAAAATCTTTTGCTCTTGTGCTGTATACACTGCTTCCACATCTCTGAAAACAAAATGTCTACTGCTGCTTGACTGCAAAGTGGTTATAGAGGAGCTTAACTTCCACTGGGAAGAAAAGGTAGCAAATTTACAAGGTGGTCTTTCAGTGCTGTAGTGTGGCAACAGGGCTCAGCTGTGGCACCCAATATTGAGTAACTTGATTTTGCACTTTAGTAAATAAAATGTTTAAGAGGTGACGACCTTTCTAGTACTTTTTTCCTTGTGTGCAGAGACTACTGCAATTACTGTGAGAAGGATAAGTACCCAAGAACATAAGATTTTAGTGTTTAATCTCATTTACCATATGTGGCTTTTTGACTACCTTTCCATCCATCTTTTTAGCATTTCTGGGAAGTTAGGACAAAGAGGAGACAACAACAGTGAGTGAAAAATCACACAGATTTTCATTTTTTGTGGATTTGTTCTAACATAGTGGGTGATCAAAAACATTTGGTATAAGCAGTGATTGCTATGAACTAGCATGTGCTGAAAGTGTATTCACTTTCTCCAACATACTAAGCGACTTCTGCATGTGGCAAGAGCAAAAGCAAAGTGGACACTCTGGTTAGAGGAGCCAGACTAAGCAAAGGAAATGAGCTGACACTGGATTGTTTGTCATACTTTCCGTCATACACTGTGCTGTACCTCTTTGTGGCATCACCTTCTGCTGCTACAAAAAAAAATACACAGTTCTGCTGTTCTGCACGTGCTGACTGCTGTAGTTGGCTTGTGTGTATCAAATAAACCTCCTGTATGTTTTCCTATTTCCATGGTTTATCCTGTGATAAAGTATTTCCTCAGTTCCCAACACTGTCTTCATGCACACACCCCAAAAAGTCTTATTTCTGCTTTTTACAGGGTACCTTTTTCCCAAGGAAGCACTTGCTGCAGGAAAAAAAAAAAAAAAAAAAAGAAAAAAAACCCACAAAAACAAACCATAAAACAGGATAATGATCATAAAAATAGTATATCTTTTCCGATTGACTTGGTTTTTATATTCAGCAACAACATTAGCAGGGATTAAGCATCAGTAAATGTTTAGGCTGGGACTGATTTCCATTGTAATCCAGCTCTTTTGATTGTTTGTTCTTCGAGATCTGGATGAGACTCTTAAGTGATTTAAAAGGCAGTTTCAAAACAGAAAGTTCAGTAGTTTAGTGTCCCTTTCAGCAGATGTGCTGAAAGAAAGTATGAAAGGAGAATATCTTCACTGAACTGTTTCACTCTGACAGATAGTCAATATATCTGGATGATGAATAGATGGAGTAATTTAGCTTTAAAATACACCTGGCTGGACTGATAATATGGCAGCTCCAGGAAAAGAGCTGAGACCAGCTGGCCCTTCTCAATGCATGATGTGAGTTAAATGAGCAGAAAGTCTTCCAGGTAGAAATAAAGCACAGATCCTCCATGAATGTATTAGAAAGTAGATCATAGGCATACTTTAATGGTTTAGATTAGCAGACACTATGATATTTGTTATCTGCAGAGCACAGAGACCCTGTTATCTGATGAGTTTGATGCACCACCTTCATTCTTCAGGCTCCCATACACATCCTTTGACTTTTGCTGTAAGCTTGGTGTTCAATCTATTCATGGACATCAAAGTGAAATTCAGCTGAAAGGAATAATTTTCACTGTGCATCATGTTGCATATGTCTTGTTGCTTTTAGTGCAGAACTGGAAATCTTGTCAGGCTTACTTAGCATTCAGCAAAGTTTATAGTGAACCTGAGCTGAGATCTGTGTTTTTAGCAAAATCAGAAGCCCAAAGATTTTTATGCAATTGCACTGTAAACATTTCCTGTGGTTCAGGTGGGAAGGTTCTCATAGGGGAGGGATTTTCTTGCCATAAAAAAAGATAGAAAAATGTGAAGTAAAAAGCAAGTGATACTCATGTAATTTATAACTAGAGGAAAACAGAAACAGGAATATGGAAAAGGTTAAGTTAAATTCACAAAAATTATTGTAGTGGGAAAATTAGACCTTTTGACATGTTCATTTGAACCGTTTTACCTTTTGTAACTGTTGAGCAGCATGGCTGTGTCTGGTATGCAGAGAGCTTAGTTAGATCTTAATGACGTGGAAGAGTTTGAACTCTCAGAGCGATCAGCAGAACCATAGATTGGGAGGAGGAATAAGACAGTGAGTCATCCAACAAAAGACAGATGGAAACGTCTGTGTCTGTTGGTTAAAGATACGAATGGTCACTGATAAATCCAGACATGACTGAAGCCGACTGAGAGCTAGTAGGAAGGAATTTGTTCCATGAAAGCTGAAATGGACTACAGAAAGCTAAGCTACATGGTAAGCACATAAAAAATGAGTTCTTGTGATGATCTGCAGAGAAATAACTTAATTCTGTGCTAGGCCTTTACACAGTGGAGGTTTTCAAAGATAATATTTGACATTTAGAAGTACAGTAACCAACTGGAAGCCATTGCCTCATGACGGGTGTTCAGAGACCTGCCTCCCAGACATAGTGGAGTGGTGTTATATATGAGAAAACAACATTACAGCTGTATTTGTTCGTTAGAAGCCTAATCAGAAAGCCACAGGATTGAATGAGCCACAGAAACCGAAATGCCCTGTTATCCCTCAATGTGGTCGTTCAAAGGAAGCTTCAAGGCAAGTTGCCATGTGAAGATTCTGCTGTATATTTGCTTTCTGATGTCTTTACTCTTTGTGTCAACGGTAGATGCCAGCCTTTAGGGATGTCAGTTCAGTGTATTTAAAAGCATAAAAAACAAATCAGGTTGAAAATATACTGTTTCTGTTCTTGAAGACTGAGGGCAGCTTTCTGTGAGAAGGTTTATAATGTTATGGGGAGCTGTTCAACTTAGCAAAGAAACAAAAAAGTAATAGAATTGTCTGGTTCCCCCATAAGGTTAGGATGACTTCACAAATGATGCCATAACAAACAATGAGTGCAAAGGAAAATTGGGATAAGGAAGTTTTAAGAATCACTCTATTTGATAGTTCAAATTCCAGTGAACAGAATTGCTAAAGTTAATTTTAGCAGTTTACAGAACAGTATTACAGGCATTGCACCAGTGGACTGGGGGGAATAAAAATGAAACTCTGTATGAGATACCACTGAGATTTCAGAAAACAGTTAAGAAAGGAGGTTATTTAAGACAAAGAGAGATTAATTAAAAAAAATAAATGTAAGGTAGATAAGCAGAGTTTGCTCTGAAGATTATAAGAAGTAAGACAATAAATTATATAAAGAAGAAAAGGGCTGCTTAGAAAATCCTGTTACTAAATGAGAGTTTCACACCATGCTAAACCAGCCTGTGCCAATTGCTTCCACTTGGGAGAGAAATAAAATAGATGTTATAGCCATGGCAGTTTTGAGGCAACAGAAGAACTTAACAACTAGCTGTATCATCCATAAGAGAGAAACTTTTCTCAAGTACATTTAATTTTTAAAAAACCCTAAAACTCATGATAGACAAATAGGAAGTTAATACTGTTTTCCATCTTGTCCTGGTTGTTTAATTAAAACATCCATCCACCAACATAAAATCCTTCTCTCAGGATTAGACTCTTATGGAGTTGCCATTTCGGTGTTGGTCCCATTGAAATGAACAGAACTGTCTATCTGACAGAGTACGATATAACGTATACAGTTCCTATGAGTCAGTGTCATAAAAATCATACTCCTGTCTAATAATCATGAATCAGCATGTGGAAGGTATTCACACTAATGCTTGCATACGCAGAGCAATACTTGCTAGTGTTGAGCCAAACAGGGCTAATTTCTGACCTCCGTGAATGACCATGGCAGGGATCTGAAAAAGGACCAAGATAAAGTCCTAAGGGTTAATTACCTTGTTCAAATGCCAATTAAGCCAAAAGGCAGCAAAACCAGACCAGCTGACTAGCAATTACCTTAAGACAATTGGGCTAAAACATGAGCCTGCAGGTATCTTCCTCCTTCTTTATGACTTGTTAGTATTAACAACCTTTATGCTTGAAAAATGTGTTCCCTGGCTCCCCAAAGTCAAGACAGTGGTCAAAGAGTGGGGATCTCAGCATGGTCTTGGCAATAACTAATTTCAGTTAACTATGCCAAGGAAATGGGTCTTTAAAGATGGCTTGACTATGCAGCACTGTTTGCATCTGGATCTTCAGCTGACACTGAATGGTAAACCACAATGCAGGGCTCAGGTGTGACTAATGTTTGGTTGTGAGGAGCACAGTGGTGGTTGTATTGGATTCATCTGAAGGACATTGCACGGTGAGAGGCTTGTTTTCCCCTCATTGTTTTATCTTGGAGCATCTCTCTCTCTGTGCACTTTTGTTTGTCTTAGCTTTTCTTAAAATTAAAAATCTGCTTTAGATTTGAGGTAGAAAAACAGGTTTGGAGCAGATATTAATTGAATCAGAATTTATTCCAATATTCTAATGAGATTACTTGATCAAAATTATTTGTGATGTGTAAAAAAGAGGAGACATGATAATGCCTTGTTCTTTTCTTAGACTTTGGAATCACATATTAGCCTAATAATATGCCCTGTGACTGACCCCTGAGATATGGAAACATCTCA